ACTAAAAATTTATTATATTACAGTATTAAAAAATAATTATTATTTGACTTAAAGAGGTTAATATTATGTTATTGAACATGTTCAATTTCAGTAGTAAAATTGGATTTCAAATAATATTTAAAAAGTTACAGACATCATCTATAGAAAAGAATGTCTCATATTATTGCACATGATATAAATAAAAAGCCAAGGACAAGAGATATTAAAATTCAAGAAGATGTTACATTCTTTCAAATGGGTTTTTCTCAAAAGATTTTAGATGGACTATCTGTTTGTGGTTTTCAAAAGCCTTCACCTGTACAGTTAAAAGCAATTCCATTAGGACGATGTGGTTTCGGTATATAAAGTTTTTTACAAATTTTATATTTAATATAATTCCTGTAACTTAAGGTATAAGTTTATATATTAATTATAGATTTAATAGTACGTGCTAAGTCAGGGACTGGTAAAACCTTGGTATTTTGTGTAATATCACTTGAAATGATTGATATAGAAGTATCATCTGTACAAGTATTAATATTAGCTCCTACCAGAGAAATTGCTGTACAAATTTCAGAAGTTTTTTCATCTGTAGGTTGTGAGATTAAAGGTAAATATTTTTCAAAAATTTGATCAAATTTGTTTGCTAATAAATGATTAGAAGTGGGAAGTAAGTCAAATTATTTTTCTATTACAGGTTTGAAAGTTGAAGTATTTATAGGAGGAATAGCTATAGGTAGTGATAAAAAGAAATTAAATGATTGTCATATAGCTGTTGGGGCCCCAGGTAGAATTAGACATTTAATTGATAAAGGATTCTTAAAAGTTGAAAATGTTAGGTTGTTTGTTCTTGATGAAGCAGACAAATTAATGGAAACCAGTTTTCAGAAAGATATTAAGTAAGTATAAGAATAAAATTTGAAGAATTATTAATAATTCAAGTGCTACTTATCCAGGAGACTTAGAAACATTTTTGGGTATGTACATGTGTTCCCCAGTACAAGTGTCTCCAGATAATGATGAATCAGTACTTATTGGACTTAAACAGTTTATAGCAATTGTTCCATCTCATCCAAATGCCATGAAACAGGTTTGATTTAACGTTTATATTTTATTTAATTATGTTTGGACAGACTAGATGTTTGTAAAACCTTCATATATCATTAATATAATTCAATATTGTGTTTTAGGTTCAAATAAAAGTAGAGGAATTAATAAAAATATTTAAGAAAGTTCCATTTAAACAAAGTTTAGTTTTTTCAAATTACCAATCAAGGTAAGTATATTTATAATCTCTGCTGTATAATTTTTTCAAGTAATTATGTATTGTATTTATATTTAAAATGAGATTTTTTTACAGAGCTCAATCAGTATGTAACAAAATCAATTTTTTGGGGTTTACAGCAACCTATATTGCTGGAAACCAAGATATGAGTAAAAGACTTGAAGCAATTAATAAATTGAAAATGTTTAAATGTAGAATAATGTTAACCACTGATTTAACCGCAAGAGGTATAGATGCCGATAATGTAAATTTAGTTGTAAATCTTGATTTACCCATAGATGCACCAACATATTTACATAGAATAGGAAGAGCTGGACGTTATGGATCTTATGGCATCTCTATAACTATAATTGCGGAAAATGAATTTGAAACATTAAAACAATTATTAACATCTGTGGGAGGTCCAAACTTTTATGTACTTAAGCTTCCATCAAATTATTCAAATGACATTTGGACTACACCCACTACGAAGTTTGAGAAATTTTATGCAAAGTCTGATGCTTGTACTATAAATCAACATGAAGTTAAGCTTTTCACTAAAGCTATAAATGATTTACCCGTAACTAATACTAATATGGAATTACAAAATAATATAAGTTCAGAAGATAATGAGGTAGTAAGTAATATAAAGAAAGATGGTACAAATAACACACAATTTTCTAATGAGGAGAAAGTGAAGAGTAATATAGTTGAACCTGTTGATAATTTTCATAAAGGTTCCTTTCACTTAAAAGATGTGTCTAATCTACAGAATAAAATAAAAGTTAATTCTTTATTTGTGCAAAGCACTAATATAATTCATGAACCTGACCATACTAAAAAAAATAAAAAACAAATTACAAATATATTATATAATTTATGTAAACCACAAGTTAAACACAATTTTACACTACACTATTCGACGAATAATCTTTCTAATTGGCAGAAACTTAATGAAAATGTAGTGTTTGAAGTGGATTTATCGAATATCAAAGATAATTTATCCAGTTCTGACATTGACACAATAATTGAACATACGAAGTATAGTTTTCATGACAAAAATGTAGAAGAAAATTCCTCATATCTTAATTGTATTAGTACTAATTTAGATGTTGAAAATACGATTTCAAGAAATATTATATTTGACAAAATGCAGAACACAGATTCAACACAGGTAGCTCATTGCAAGGAGAATAGTACTATAAGTACTGATACTTTAACAATGTCAAATGAAATGCAAGATAGTACCGATGTTTCCGTTATAGAAGAATTACATTCTCATCTTTTGGAATACACGAGAAATTTGAATAAATTTAATAATGAATTATCTTCAAATGATGAGGAAGTATTACTAAAACAAGCATTTGCATGGAAACAAAAACTTGATTTTGAAATTAAATTATTAATGAATACAACGAAATTGATGAAAGAATCTATTCAAAAATTCATATATCAACAACATATTAATATGCTTAAAATATTTTATAAAATACAAAAACAAGCTCTTTTGTGCGTTTATCCCGAAATACGAAATGATGACGAAATAAATGACACTTATTTATACTCTGCAAGCACTATAGGTGAAAATGTACTAGAAATGTACAAAGGAATAGAAGATTTCAAAAGTTCTCATCGAATATCTGGAGAAAAATTCAGTGCATACTTTCCATATCCTGTTAAAGCAGATTCACATATGCCAAATCTTATGATCTCCAAAATAGATACAGAAAATTATCTTAATGCATTGCAGTATTTATACTCGAATCCTTGCCCTAGAGAAACGTTGTTACAAATAATAGATATTGTAACATTTATTAATAAAACCAAACAATGCAATTTGATAAAAAAATTAGAAGCTTTAAAAAATTCGTCATTAGATATATTGTTGGCAACAATACAAAGTGAACTATTCAGCAAAGAATTAGACGAAAACAAATGTACAGAGGAAGAAGTTAAATCATTAAAATATATTGATAATACAAATCAAATTAAAAATGTTAATGATTCAGAAGATTATGTTTTGCATAATCAACTTGCAGATATTCAAAACGTAAACAGTAATATTGAAAAGAATAATGTCATTGCAAATAAAGATAAGTGTAATAAAATAAGTAATAATTACAGTTCTTCTAATGATTCTAATAATTCAATATCAATGGAATCAGCAGAGGATAATTTTATTAAAATACAAAAATTTGCAAATACTGTAAGTTATAACAGAAGTAGCAGTACATCAAGTACTACTTTAAGTGAAAATGATGATGTTAAAGAACATAAATCCAATGGAAAAGTACATACCAAAAATAAATTTCATAAGTGGAAAAAGATTCAAAAACAAGGAAGTACTACTATTAGAGAGAAAGGAATACAACCTAAGACTCAAATACAATTAGATTCATCATCAAGATCTATGACAAATTCTTTTAGCTCAACTCCAATCAAAACAAATTTATGCATAAAAAACAGTCAAGGAGTTCAATACATAAGTAATCTTCCACAAGCATATGTAGATAATGAATCACTAAGTTCCGATTCTACTAATTCAGAACTCCATGAAAGTCAAAATTACATTGCTCAGATGAACTTACATTATACTTCTCTATCAAATGATAAAGTTGCAACTAGTACAATTAACGTTTGTAATACTGATTATTTACAACAACAAAAACAAGAAAAGCATGTGGATACACAATATCATATTCCTTCTTACAAAGAGTATATTCCTTCTACACATGAATTGAAAACTCCTCAAACTGAAAACTATACATATTTTCTTAGACCTTCTGCAAATTCTATTCTTTCAAAAAATACAAATAATTTTTATTATTCTCCAAATAAAGATATTAATGAAATTGAAATTGATCAGTTTTTGTCATCGTTAAGGGCTGAAACTGATCGACTGCATTTAGAACTTTATACATCGGAAATGCTTCAGAAATCAGTGAAAAATGATAGTTAAAGCTGTTAACATTGATTCAAATTTAACATTTTGAATGTTAAACAAACAATGTTAAACTAGTTGTTCGGTGTTGTTCAATTAGGTTTTTAGATAACGAATTTGTAATTAGTCGGCAGTAAATTTGGAATGAAACTATGTTGTGTACAAGGTCGATAAGCAATTCGTAGTAACAAACTACGCTCTATCTTGCGAGTACGGTATTTAGTATGCACTTCAATTGATGTTTTCTAATTATTGTATATTCATTGATAATACAATATGGTTAATCGCAATAGAAATTATGGTAATTTTTGTACAGAAATTGTTAATTGTAAAAATAAGATTTTGGAAATTTTGTATATTTAAGAAAAACTAATATCCTTCAAACCTGTTATCATACTTAGATGATTGGTAATATAGATATAATTACTCCTGTATAATAAATTAATGTAAATTGTGTCAATATAATTACAATTTTTTTTTTTTTTTTTACAGCAAATATTAAATGTAATAATTCTTTCATTATTGATTGTATATTATTAAAAAACTGTCAATTCTATAAGTAAATACTTTATTCAAGTCGAAATGCAAATTAATTACATAATATTCATATGATAAAAAATGTTGAATAATTTTATTTATTTGAATGTCGTGCCGGTTGTGAGTTAGGGGGATCAGGTTTCTAAAGCGTCTCTTTAAGGGGAACGAGAAGAAAAAAAACACCTTACGAAACTCGTCTCGTGAGAATTTGGGGTACGCGCTTGTTGTGTCCGTCCTTTATTCGCAAAATAATCGTTTGAGCAGCCCGCCTAGTATACTTCAGTCGGTTACCACGTGCTTTCGCGTGAAGGAGTCTCTTAATCGCGTTCGTGAGTGTCGTATGGTGTTAATTAGTAAACCTATCAACATTGTTTTCTGTAAATCGCGTTCGTTCGTTCGCATACGTGTAGTGCGCGGCAAGAAATATGTCATCTTCCAGGAAATATTTTAAAAGGGTCCCGATTTATGTGGTAGAGGGTCACGACGAAGTAAGTTTTCGAATGATCAACGTCTTCCTAGTTTGTTTACATCGCAACTTGCTCTGTCTAAATTTTCTCGTTAGCACACTAGGGGCGCTGCAAGCGTCCCAACTATCCATGACGAATTGGTCACGTGATTAAAAGCGTTGGAAATTAAAATAGGGCGACGTCAAATTTAAACCGTGACAAAAATTTGAATGTTTTTCTGAAATTTGATGTTGTTTCATTAGGTTTTACCGTTTATTTATCGGTGTTTGGGATCAAAACATCTTCCGTTCGAAGGAAACGCGTTCGTGCATTTAGATTCGCATCCGGACATGCTTATACCGAAAATGATGTTGGCGGACACTGTATGGGACAAAAATCAATTGTTCAGGTATTTGAAATTTCTCATATACATATATTAATAAACTTTTATAATTGTATTTTGAACTTCTTGTTTATGTGTGCAATAAATAATTGTATTCATCGAAAATGTAAAGATTTGTAATATACTTGCTTATTCATTTTCGCGGTTGGTACCAAGAATCGGTACCGGTAACAATTATGGTATCGTAAGAAAAATTTTAAAATATTGCAAAGATGAGAATTTTGTATCAACCATTTATTACTTTTTAAAGATGTTTAACCTACTAATTTTACTATAACAAATCCGTTTTCTATTTATTTCTCGTCAACTTTTATGTACTCTTTACGTTTAATATATCACATTTCGTTACGTAACCTAATACGTTTCGGAAAATGCGCAAAGAGTGCGTACGTGATGGGTCTGAGGGCATTCCGAGGTCAGCCATCTTTTCTCATTACAGTAACCAAAACAAGTTCATTCGCTTTTTACACGAAGTTATTAAAAATAATAAATATTTTAATTAAATCGTTCTTTTTTCCATATTAATATTGTTTTCTAAATATTACCTAGTATTATGCCTATTTTTTTCCAATTTGTTAATTTTTTTTTAAAAGTTTTAATCGTTACCAAAGATATTAAATTGCATGTCCTCGTTAATAGTGAAATTAGCATCGAAAACTGGATATTACCTGCTGCGTATGCCGGTCACTTTAAGCACCTGATCTGGGTCAAACCACCGTGGGCAAATCAGATGGCCGATGGCGTGACAACCTTCTTCATCGGCAAGCATAAGGACAACGGATCAATAAGGTGAGTCTTACATTATTTTATTTTCATCGCATGTCAAACTGAGTCACGTTTATAAATGCACCACCAAAAGCTTCAAAGGAGTACATAAAGGCTATTCATCATCATGTTGCGTTTGTCCATTGCGCAAACGAACAACTGGAAGTAATATGCAATAATGGATTATTGTATCTTTATCGATATCTACATTTAGAAATTCGGAGGTATGGAAATTATTAATACTTGAAGGATCGAACACACTTTTTTTCTATTCTTACAGCAACAGATTTGTGTATTTTCTAATTGTATTTTAAATTATAATGTTACCAAATTAAAACGGTTTTATGCAAATGAAGATGCGAATCGGGCTTATTATATATCTAGGTAGAGCTCTTTTCTTTTTTACACTATCATTTTGTTTGCATTTAATTATAAATATAAATTTATCGATACTTTATGCTATCAGGATGAGTCTTTTACGTTCTATGAATTTTACAGAATATCACGAACAATTGGAACGCAGTAAAAAATTAGTAATCAGCTGAAACTAATCAACCAGAGTTTACTATGCTTTGGCATTGCAATATCATGAAATACGAAATTACTTATTGCGAGAGTACAATCTTAGATTTTAAGATACAAGAGAAGCCTTAAACGACCCCTCAAGTATTAAGATAAATTAGGTCTACAAATGAGAGGATGTTACGGTGAAGGCTTCTGCATTATCGTATTAATGAAACAAAAGCATAGGAAAAGAAATGAAATCGTTACGTCGTTTAACACGACATTTGCATTTCACAACGTGCAAAATAAGAATAACGAAGGTTCCGTGACGAAGTGTAAATTATGTCTTTGAAAGCAAGCCAGTTCGGTGCCCTTTTTTAATTATAACGTGTACGCGACGCGCCTGTAGAATACGCGGAGTAATTCGTATGTTGCGCGTAGATAAAGTTGGAGATAAAACACGCGTTCACGATACGCTTACAGTTTGGACCGAGAATTATTTTTCACTTGGCGAGAGAGCGAACGACGAGGGTTAAGTGTCTGCTCTTGTGCCGATTAGCATACACGGACACGCCACATCATGTACAATTTAGGATAGCTGTAGCATAATGTTACATGTGTCCTCTCGTACCGAGACAAGCATCAGAAAATTGTCGACAGGTGGTACCAAGCCTTGCATCTTATCGTCGCCGTTGCGTGATCTTCATTTTTGTGATAACATTACCGAACAATACAATAATATAATTGATTCAAATATCGTCACCAACGTTATATAACTATGACGTAAGGTAAGACTGTTCTGACTGATAACAATGACAATGTTCCGAAGGAACAGCTGATAGCAAAAATTTCTTCTTTATCAGAGGCTGTAATGGTAATTATTCAAGAAATCAAAACAGTTTCATAAATTTGTGGTATTTTAAACCTGTTAAACGAATTCCCGAAGAATTGCTCCTTTAAAATTTCACCGAAACATATGTTCCTTGTAAAATTCGTGGTTCTAGAAGACGATTAAAATGTGCATCAAAAGATACAGTACTGCAGATAAATCGTGTATGTCACTGTACCATCATTTTCTTTGAAATCGAGTTACTTTCTATTTGAAAAGCGGCGGTAAATAGTGTTATCGTGTTGTTTTAATATCTCTCGTGACCTATCGACCCCCCAGTAGATATCTATTACGGCAACATTGTTGCAACGTTAGCCAGGTATTGAAATTGGAACTTGTTTTCGTGATAAAAGTTGCGCGGGACTATTACGCGAAACACGTTCGGCCGCGCGATGCAACGACGAGGTACTGAAAGTCATAACACCGCATCGCTGGCCCGTAATGTACATAAAATACCATAAGGTTTAAGAGTGATTCATGAAGTATATTATACTGGTTTTATTGTTCTGTCATGGGTCTTTGTGTGCGCGTCATTCAGCGATATGAACGATTGCCCCTCTGTTATGAACACGGGGTCTAATGTAGATATTAAAACTCGCCGGATTACGTTACATCTATAAAGACGTAACATCGTATTTTATAACTTGATCATGATACAATTACATTCTGACCATAACGCGATACGTTCAATTAGCCGAGTAATTTCGTTTTAAATTACTGCGACTAACATCACCATTTAAATCTAAATCAACGGTAACGCGCTGTCGGCTTCTCTACTGTGATCTGTATCGATTTAAACTCTGGCCACCGACCTTTCACAAATATTAAGCTTCAAACGAAGAAAAGATTTTCGGGAGAATTCCTCATGGTTTTACGTGTTAACATCGATGAGTAAACATTGATTTGTAAAATATTGCAGTATTATTATTCTTATTATTATCATTATTGTATTACTTGGTCTATTCCATTAATAAACGCTTCAATCCGAACGATCTAAGTCTGAAGGGTCAAAATTACTCTTTCGAAATGGTGCAATTAAAAATGTATCGTTGACGTCTTCTCTGACTTTCAAAAACGTCTACATCGCTTACGTTCATTTTCTAATTTCATTCATTCTGCACACGTTTTTACTCTACGTTTGTTCCCTTAGTTGCCTTGTTTTATAATATTTTCTAAAATACCACACGTAACAGCTTCTCTTCTAATCTCGTCAAAACACAGTCGTCTCATAGACTGTGCTCCATCTAAAATCCAGCAAAATTTGATAGATGAATTGGTCTTCTTCCAAAACTGAAACAGCCAGATGTTTTCTCGTGCATCTACGATCCCGTTTCATCAAACGAGTATCGACTTCGATCAGACCATGGTGATCCACCGCAAACGTCTTGAATATCGGTTTACACGGTGGTGGAGGCGCGCGTGGCGATGAGAAGTCGTCACAGTTGGTTAATCCACGACGGAAGGGGGTAAGACCCGGTTGACAAGAGGCAAGGGTGAGCGTGGCACGGCGCGAGGCGGAGCTAGGCGGGAGGGGTTTAAAAGGAAAAAGGCAGGTAAAGTAGCAAAGGGAAGCCGACACGGTGCGCCGCGGCGATATCTGCCAAGAAACTGGTGGCCGTGATGTAGCGCTCCGCTGGGACTTGAGTTATGTTTCTCGAATTACCGTGGATATATGTCCGTGTACCGTGAGTGAAGCACGCGAATTATGCCGTTGTCAGAACTTCACCGTGTGTGCCCGTCCGCTTCCGCTAATTCCTTATCCGATGAATATTTCGATTACGTCGATTTCGTTTCTCGCGTTCCCTCGGAATCCCAGACATTCTCCTAGACTGATAAAAAACGCCTCGTCGGCGTTTTAAACATTTGACGGATGCTTAACGATCCGTGAAATCAGCCACAATCAATCCTGTTCCGATCTGAGCGTACTGACAAACGAGTGATTGATATTCCGGTAAGGCGGCGTATACAGGAGAAATTAAATACTTCTGTACCGTTTTAAAACGTTTCTCGAAACGATTTTCGATAGAGAGGAATTTCTCTAATTGTTTTTTTGTTGGTTTCTGTTGGAAAACCTCGTGAACTCCGTAACTGTGTGAATGATCTGAGAAAGTTTCGTTGGAATGAAAAATCGAGGGATTGCAAAATATCATCGAGCAATATTTCAGAACGAGATAACTGTACTATGGTTCGATTAAACGAAATGCAAGCTTTTAGCATAACCAAGCAGGCGACGTTTAAATATGCCAGGCACTGATAGTGGCAAAACTGAAAAAATGTGGCAATTTTTTATTTGATTTTTATCACGTAAAACGGTGTACATTTCGAACTTCGTTAACGTCACATCGTAGAGCAGATGAGATTGTACCATCGGTATTCAACTGTTAGTAAAATGTAAATTTTAAATTGCTTTCCTGTAGAATGAATTTTTATTAAGTTACGCCACTATTAATGCCAACCCAAGGATACATTGCATCATTTTATATAAAACAACAGAATTTCGCCCGCTGATTACTTTAAACGCGCAAAACGTCCCGACAGCATCCGGGATCATTAACCATGCGTGTAACCATTAAAGTGAATTACGACGGGGACAAAAATTTGCCAGTTATCAATAATTGCTCTGCCGTGTGATCAGGGTACCGTGGGTAGAATATCGGCCTGATAACATCTAAAATATGATGCCATCGACCGTTTTTCGTCGAAGTTATACATACATAATCGCGTGTACCCACGCGCAGGTGCCGATCGAGAGCGGATCGATTTGCATCGACGGCCCGCAGGATGCACGACTTTCGTTATTCGTGGTTTTTTGTACGCTGTGCGCGCGTCTTCGGTTTTCCTTTTTCTTTCCCTTCTCTGCTTTCTTTTTCTTTCTTTTTTTTGAGTTACAAGGGTTTAACGCTAGCGATACGCGTAACCGTTGGTCCTTCTGAAGACGGTACTATTAAAGCGCTATGATGAATATGTTTTTATCGAAGGATACACACCGGGGATTAACTAGTCTACATCTGGTCATCGATAAGATATTTATCTATGATATCTTATAACGTTTCATTTATTCTGGAATATTGCGATTGGAAAATTTCAAAATTTTTCAATTTAAAAAACTCAAATTTCTCATTCGATTGTCCAGCTAGATGAGGTTAAAGCATCGTCCTTACTTCCGCGAGAGAAATTCTTTTTCGACCTCGACGCGTTTTCGTTTTCTGTTCGCCTTGATTTGCTCGGTGACTCTTTTTTTTCGTCGTCGTGAAGGAAAGGCTCAAGAAACTCGGTTGCGGGGGGATCGCGACAATGGACAATGGCGCAATAATCTACAATAGAGATCCGCTTGGAGATTCCGTGCCGAATGAATAGGGCCCCTAGGACAATCATCTCGTAAACTCGGCTTCCTTGAACGCTCCTCCCCTTCCCGCTGCCGCGGCGTGTGTTCTTCTGTTCCGTATTTCACGTTTCGTGGTTCTGCGTACGCAAGAATCTGAATCACCTACTTATGCGAAGGTGTTCTAACTAAGGAAGTTCCCTCCCTGCGTTCCACAGGAGACGGGAGACAACGTGACCTACGCTACCTTGTATCTGGTTACGGTAGTTCGATCACCCAGGCGAGTTCCCTTTGTCGTTTCTCGCTCTACACT